TCTTTTATTCCTCTTCTTTCTTCTTCTAGTTGAGCTATTTAATATACTTTTTGCATACCTTCCAGCATCACAACAATATGCAAAATACCATAGTATGACAAATTGATAGATGAATGGTGGTCCATTATATGTGATACTGTAGGGACTTAATTTTTGTATGTATTTAACACCTTGAGTCTTTGTGCCTTTCCTACAATGATATATGCTCCTTTGTAATGAAACTGTTTATGTTCATGTTTGGTTATCAAGTTTATCAGTTTATTTCTTATTTTTTTCCCCTCTAGCATATAAATGTTACATCTAGGACACTGTGTCATGCTGGCAGAGATCTTCAGCAAATCATTCTAGATCAATGCTACAATTTTGTTTGTGTAAATGTAAGTAGTAAATATAAATGATCAATTGTACTTGAAGATCTGTATAAATATAATGTGAAAGATAACTAATTTTTATTGATTCTTAAAACTTTGAATTCAAGATTTTGCTAACTCGGTTTTATTATTCAATATAAATTTGGAAATTTTATGCTTCATCTTCTGAAGTAGTTAAATTGCTTTTACAACTCACTGATTTTTGTAATGTGAAGGTGATGTTTTTTTAGATGATATTTACAGCTATATCTTTTAAGCGCTGTTGTTAAGAATCAGGCTGCTAATCTCACGGTCAGCAGTTCGAAACTACCAGCTGTTCCATGGGAGAAAGATTTACAGTCTCAGAAACTACACATGGTCACTATGAGTCAGATCTGACTCCATGGCAAATAACAACAACAACAACAACAAACCTGTCATAAAGCAGATAATGTGACACATATATGAAATAGTTAATAGTTTAGATTTTTATGTATATAATCATAAGGAAACTCTTTAAAATGTTTTAAATAATTAAAAGTTAAGCTTTGATAAATATTTTTACTTTTATAAAACATCTTTACGTTTTCCTCCTTTAGCTAAGTTTTAAAACCATTCAATACACTGCTTCATTTCCTTTTATCTTTTTGATCATTCAGGTTCTGAACTTTGATTTTCAAGAAACACAGAAGTTACTGAAGTTACTTGAGGATAGTCATCTTTCCATTTTTAACCCTGTAGTTGTTGTTTCGGTAAGAGAATGAATACAGATTTTTTTTTCAATAATTGTATGTTCCCTACCTTTTAACTGATGTTTTCTAATTAAGAGTATTTTATTGAATTGAGGACATAATCTGAACTCTCATCTCTTTTTTTCCTTATGTTTGTGGTTACATTCATACTCTGACTGCTATTACTAAACTCAACGGTTTGGGAAACTATTTAATTCAAGCTAACAACAATTTCATTTATTTTCTTTAATTGATATCACAAATTGAGTAGTTGTTTAGATAGCATGAAAAGAGTTTTATTTAGAACAAATAAATCATGACAATAAATAGAAAGCCTGAAGTTAAAAACATATATGGAAACAAATCATAGGGAAGGGCATTTACTCTTGAGTTGTGTTTTATGGACAGCAAAGGAAAGCAAGTAACAAACTAAAGAATTATCATTGAAAATTTTGGAGAGTGATTTTTTGTGAAAAAAATAAAAATGTGTTTGGTGAAACATTTATATGACTGGACGATCATGTTGTGCTGATGAATATCTGAAAGTAAAGCCAAAGAGGACTAGAATCCAGTCAAACTATTTGAGCAGCAAGTTGTAGGGTCTGTAGCATTGTGCTGTAGGAAAGGGTTTGAAATATTAAATTTTAAAAGGTGTTTATCTATTGCCATGTTTCAAAAGTGCAGGCCTGTCCCATGGTTTGGGAATTTGATTCTTGTTAGGTAAGGTAACTGATACAGAATAAAGATAACTTGCACTGTAAATAAGTAACTCTAACTTGAGCAATACATGTAGAAACACATTAACAATTGGAGAATGTGTAGTTATTTTCCCGGCCCATTGTATTTGATTGTGCCTTAAGGGTAAGTTCCATGCTAGTTTGGGAAATCTAAGGCACATATTGAGTGGTTCTCACAGAGATAGACTTGCAGCGAGGTTTTTAGTAACATTATGGGGTGTACCTCATGCTCACTGTAGGATTGAGATTAAATTAAAAGTTATTTGTGGGTCCTATATATGTCTCTCCTCATTTACTGGCTTGAACATCTCATTCATCATGTTCCAGATGTTTTCCCCCAAACTAGGGCTTGTTGTTTTGTTGTTAAGTGCCATCGAGTAAGTTCCAACTCATAGTAACCCTGTATAGGTCTGTGAGCTTGAACCTTTCAGTTCAAACTGACCTTGCAGTTCAGCGCATTAACCCACAGTGCCATACTTACAGGATGACTGGTTAACGTAACTGTTATACAGATTTACACATGAACCACTAATGCCAAAGATGAAGAAACTGAAAAGTTTTACCAGCTTGTGTTGTCTGAAATTAATCGAACATGCAATCAAGATACATTTTTTGAAATTTGGAAACAAAGAAGGACCAATACATAGAAAATATGACCTTGGTAATAGAATAAATGCCAAAGATCATTTTATAGAACTTTGAAAGACCAACAACTTATCCACTGGGAATACATTTTTTTCAACAACATAGATAACCTCTATACAAGTGACCCTCACTGGGTGGAAAACATGGGGATAAAATCTATTGCATCTGTAGAAGGAGTCCTGGTGAGGCACTGTGGGGTAAGGACTGGTCAGGAGCTCAAACCCAGTTTCTTGGAAATACTACAAGAGTCCCTGTGAGTCAGTAACTGACTCAACACACTTAACAAGAACAACAACATACATGGAAAGACATGATGGAAAAACACAATATCATCAGTCAAAACAAGGCCAAAAGCTGCCTACAGAATAGACCATCAATTGCTCATAATCATGTTCAAGTTGAAGATGAAGAAGATTAAAGCAAGCTCATGAAAGCCACATTATGATCTTGAGTATATGACAATGAATTTAGAAATGATTTCAAGAATAGACATAATGTATTGCACACCAATAAACAAAGAGTAGAAAAATTATTGGATGGTATGAAGGATGGACATCACACATGAATGAAGCAAAAGTCATTAAAAAGGCAAGAAAGAAAGACAAGACCACAACTAATGAGAAAAGAGGCTCTTGAATTTAGAG